TCCATGTAAACAATAGCAGAGACCACATTTCAGCATCTGTACATGAGTCTTCAAGTGCTGGTTAAAAAGGACAACAACAACAAACCCCGAGTAAAACAAAACCAGAAAAATAAAACAGACAGTGCCAACTGGAAATATCAGTACACACAGAAAAGGCAGCTCATTAAAATACCTTCTTCAGCTATGCATTTTAAAATCATTTTCAAATACCTGTTCTTTAGTTTAGTATCTATCCTTCATAGATATAGAAATAATCTTGTGAGAAAAGGCTTAAATACTTGTAGTGATAAAGAATGGCTATAGTGTTTGATCACCATTTTAAAATGAGTTTGGCTTTGTTTTCTTTTTTTTTTTTGATGCTTGGAACCATAAAATAGACCTACACCTCAAATCTTTAAAAAATTCCAAAAACAAAAAAACCCAACCCTTTAGCGGGAGAACTACTATAGCTCATCAGTTTGCAGTGTTTCTGTGCATTTTACACAGAAATACAGTGTTTCTGTGCATATTTTACTATAATATGACATAACCAACTTGTACTCTTTTATGCTGTTAATAGAAAAAAAAGAGGGAGAGGGAAGTTTGCAAAAGCAATTGTTTTCATTGTTAAACAACTTTACATTATGGCAATTTACCATTGCATATTTGGAGAGCCAAAGTCAATGTGACTTTCCTGATTTCTGTTGCTGTTGTGGCTGTCTTCAAAGAGTTCCCTGTAAATTTTCATCCGGGTCTCAGGGCTTGATAACAGCTCCTTTATCTGATTCAGTTTGGATAACAGGGACAGTGATTCTCTGTGCAATGCCTCCTTTATTAAGTCTGCCTCATGATTCTTCCCTAGAGGAAAAGAATGATACAATACATTTTGCATATAACTAGCATTATTTATAAACATTTTAAAGTATGGAGGTAATGTAATAGATGCATTTTTCTAAAGGACTTAAAATTATGGCCATATTTATCTTATATAAAAAGGTAGTGTTTTGTCAAAAATATAATTTGTGAACAATTTTTACCAAAAAGTGAAGAACACTGCATAGTGTCATGTTCAAAAGAAGTTCCCACTATGTTACATACTGTGTAATAGTATCTGTGACGAACATCTGTAGCAGTCATTTTTAGCTGAGCATTGATTGCTGTTGGCTTTGCAACAGAATCTGTTCTGTTACAGATCAAGCAAGCTATTACTTGTGGCAGTGCCAAAGAATGTAGATGGATTGTTTCCACCTATGGCCAGGCCTCTTCCAGGGCCATTCATTGCAATCTGAAAGGCATACACAAAAGGTTTGATTCCGCTTCGCAAGCAAGGAAGAGATCCTCTGTAGTCAGAGCCAGTAGAAGTTAAGTCTTTCTATTTTACAGTCTTTTTCCTTCTTTTTTCCCCCCCTAGATCATCTTTTTCCCCCTAGCATTCAGTAGTTTTTCATCAATGCAAACGATTATTATTCAACTGTTAGATGGCGTCCTTTGATTCAGAACAGACTTTTACTCTGAAAGCAGAATGCATATCATCCAGCTCCACTTAGCAGATCGGAACAGTGAGATTCTGGGGCTCTGGCCTTCCCACAGCGCTCACTTTCTGTTATCACTGTCACTTTCATTCCTATTGCCACTAGTTGCATCCTCAGTTTTCACTGGGCTTCCATCAGTCTGTCTGGTTTTATTTTGAGTTTCTTCTAGATACTGTTGTACCGCCTTGAGGACTGCATTCTCCACCAGCCTTTTGCTGAGGCTCACCAACTCTGCATCATCTGGTTCCGCCCCATTCTTTTCACCTATGTACCACAATAGACAAAAGAAGTGATTGCTATGGAAAGAGAGCAGATGCACAAGGTATTGTGATATCATGCCGGAAACCTCGATTTTTGCCTTATCAGTTGGATTTGAGTCTGTCCTATTCTTTTTGTGGAAATAAATTCCCACTTTATAAAACTGGGGCCAAAAAGTATGTGTTTTAACTGGGTAACATATTAAATTAGAAACAGAGTCCTTTTGAAACTATAACACTTTATAAGCCAAAGACTCATCTAAAAGCATCTCAGTCATGCGAGAAGCAATATGAATGCTTTTTCCTTAGTAAATGCTAATTTAAAATGTAAAATAGTATCAGGCATAGTTGGCTTACAGTTCACTAATACTCTGAATTTAGTTATGCTGTCCTTGTATTATGCTTTCATTTTCAAATGTACAGCCTTGTAGCTATTTATACTTACAATCTCAAGAACGCCTTGCTGAAAAAGCCGTGTGTCTAAAATTTTTTTTAGAGATGGTTGTAAAAACTGCACCCAAGCATTAAAAAACCCAAACTATTAGGGGAAAATGTACTTCACCCCTCCTTCCCCGCCCCCAGTAATTTTTTAACTAATTTGCAAATAACTTCAGTAGTCTGTTCAGACATATCTATCTACTGATAAAGGAAGAAGCTGGAGTTTACACCATTTGTTAATTCTTTAAAGTAGTAGAAGTTGACACTAAAGTTCAAAGAATAAACACGTAAGTATCTGACTGTATATTCTTTTTTCTTAGTAATCCTGATACATTGTTAATGTGACTAAAAACTAAAGTTTAAAATTTCTTGCTTTCCATGTAGCAGTTGACTATTAAATACATAGGCTAAAAGAGCACCCTGCTTTCATAAAGTGTAAGTATATTTGTATCCCCCTGGCTTTTAGAGTCTGGTTTTCACTGGGCATGTCTACATGTTCATTAGTGAGCTTTTGCTAATGTGCATTAAATTTAGTACCTCCATTTTGAGGTACCAGAAAAAGGCACATTAGCCTATTTTAATGTGTATTAGCGAAAGTACACAGGTTTTTTGTGATGCTTTAATGTGCGTTACAATAGTCTAATGCACATTAAAACACACACGTAGACATGACTGACCACCTAATCTGCATCTCTTACTTTTTGCAAAAAAAATTTTTTTTTTGTAAGCAAAATCCTGTACATGCATTTTTAGATGTCAACAATTTGGAGTTAACATTCTTTGACAAGTAGCATTTGGCATAAAACATTTATACTATTCCACATCTAAATTCAGTATTTTTCTGCATACTTAAATATATTTAAGTTGGATGGTAAATGCAAAGTGATTACACGCACAGAAAAATGCTATTTATTTTCCTGGTGAATCTTAAGTCTGTGAGGCGGTATGAATAATGAAAAACCAATTTAGTAGAAATTCAATTTGAATTTCATTAAAAAACATTCTTTTAATACACACAGAATAAATATTTTGCCTCCAGAAGCATCTTATGTAATATCTGCTGTAATTAAGACTATTATTGACTGACTTAAAAGCTATGCTCTTGGACCTAAGAGGTTCTAAGTAGACCTGGAAGGAATTTTTCAGTGGCTTATCATGAAAAATACAGTTTTGGGGGCAGCCAAAAATGAAAAAAGAACATGGGAAATATCAAAGTTTACTTTGTCACTTCCACATGGAAACATTTTTGCTTGTTTAGGTTAGTTCTATAATTGGACTAAGGCCAGGTACAGACATTACACTTTTACTGGTATAAGTGATTGGAAACCAGCCTATACCCATAACTGAACAGAAGTTCGGCACACAAAGACTGCTTTAAAAATGGCAGAACCCGATTTAAGATTTGCCCCGCCACCAAAGGGCAGTGATGATACATAAGGGGTGCACAGGGGTGTATGTGCACCCCCTGAGAGCGCTGGTGCACCTCTTGTCAGGCCACGCTCCCTGTTTAGCCAGCAGGCAGGAGCACTAGTGCCCCCCCTGCGAGTGCCGGTAGGGGAGCAGGGCCGCCAGCAAAAGCTGCAAGACTTTCAGAAGCAGTTTGGCTACATTTGGGTGAGTGAGATTGGTTGTGGGGGACCCCCCCCCCCAGGTCAGCATAATTGCCCCCTCATTGGTCACTGACTGGTCGCTGACTCAAGAGGCACCAGTCACCCATGCCAAAGGGTAAATGTGTGCTACCTATCTAAACCAAGCCACTCTCACAAAACCATATAATCAATTCTGCCTTCAGCTTTTTAAATGTCTGCACCTAGCCTTAACCACCCTTCACAAAGTTGTGTGGAGGCCTAGTAGTCCAGTGGTTGGTGATTAATCAGTTCATTCAGGTTGTAGATAACTTGTGTTAAAATCCCTTTTCTGCCTGATTGGAAGCAGGGACTTGAATGTAGGCTCAGTACAAGTCAGGGAAGTGCTCTAATTGGACTATAAGACATACAGCACCATATGAGCTTTCTTTATCTTGTGAACTGAACTTAAATCCCTCATACTACTGCAGAGTAGGAGTTTTGAAGTGATGGGAGCCCAAGGCTGTGCCTTAAGGAAACGATCCTTCGGGCACAAAGCAAGTCGATCCCTGTGCGAGGTAAAAGAGGGAAAGGGGCCAGGAGGCTTCCCTGGCTGACCAGAGAAATCCAGGGCAGCCTAAGGGCCAAAAGGGGAGCACATAAAAAGTGGAAACAGGGAGAGATCACCAAAGACGAATATCCCTCCTCTGCTCGTGCTTGTAGGGAGGCAGTTAGACGGGCCAAAGCTACCATGGAGCTGAGGATGGCATCCCAAGTAAAGGACAATAAGAAATTGTTTTTTAGATATATAGGGAGTAAAAGGAAGGCCCAGGGAGCAATAGGACCCCTGCTAAATGGGCAGAAACAATTGGTGACGGACAGAGGGGACAAGGCTGAACTCCTCAACAGTTCTTTGCCTCAGTGTTCCTAAGCGAGGGGCACGACAAGTCTCTCACTGGGGTTGTAGAGAGGCAGCAGCAAGGCGCCAGACTACCATGCATAGACCCTGAGATGGTGCAGAGTCACTTGGA